TAGTCAAGAAGTTCGGATCCGAAGACTAGTGGCGGACGAGGTTTTCCCACACCTCATCCGAACACCATTGAGGCCTTACGTGTAATACCCCCATTTTTCCCACCCAAATAAAATCACATTTTTAAATGAAACCATCTTTACTATTAAACATATTTAGAGTACAGCGGAAGTCTTTAAGGGAAAAACAGGTGCGTCACCGTCACACTCAACCTATACATGATTGAGTGCACACGCTATCCACCATAAGTTCAAATAACAATGAAATAGGTCTTAGGACAAAGTTTATGAATTACAAATTTAAACAACGATAATTAATCAAATGTGTGCAACTAGCGGAACACTCGGGTAGCAAGTACATCAATCTTCATAATCATAATCATCTGTACAATAGAGCAAAGAGAAGAAGACAAAAGAGACAAAAATTAGCTTTAGAGCTAAGTAAGATTCCACCCAAACCCGTAAAATAATATAATTTGGAAAATAGGTTTGGTATATGTATATATATATATATAAAATACCCTCTCATATCTCCAAAATAACTTCATGTCTCAAAATAATTTCTTCAATAGATAATGTCATTCCTCAATTCATCCAAAAGTAATTGGATACTTGACAAGTTCGAAAAACGGGGTCTATGTTTAAAAACTGATGTTTTTCGATATGATACTTGACAAGTTCTTTGGTTCGCGTGACACATTTGATCAGATTCAGTGTCTTTAGTTTGAAACTTTGTAATCTGATTTGAATAATTGGATCTTAATCTTTTTATTTGAATTTGATCTAAATTTGATCAGAAACTTTTGTGATCGATTGATAATAATAATCTTTTTATCTGATCTGTCACGCCCCAGACCACATCTAAGCGCGTGTACAACCGCCGTGTAATTAAGTGACGTCACTCGTAAGTCAACCTCACATAATCACACAAGGCGTTCATGAACATCGTTCACACCATACTCAGTAGTAAACATACATAACAACATCACATCATAGATTGAATGAATAACGGAAAATATTCAACGGTCAATCATAAGCCACATATGGCAAAACGTAGGCTCGCAGGCCAAAACATTGTAATATTACAAAAGTATCCATGAGCATAGTTTATGATTTAAAATAATAAAGGAAGCACGAACCACGTCTTCCTTTAGATTCTTCCCACCCGTGCAAAGGTGTAGACAACAGGCTCTAGCTTCAACCTGAAATGGTGGGGGCCCCGAAGGGGTCAGTACAAGTACCGAGCGAGTAGCAAGCTAAATGTAGAGTAACTAATGTTTCAAGTATAAGACCCAAACATAGGGTGATACATATACTTACACTTCCTTACCCCAAGTTACAAAATACATATCACTACTAATATACACTTGGAAATACCCGACCCGTAGGTCATTGTTTGTTTGGGAAAAATAATAATAGTCAATATCCTTGACTTAAAACCCCAACCCACCCATAGACCTATGAGTGTGTAGGACTCCTCCTCTCCAAATCAAATAATCATAAAGACACCGCCCGGTCCTGAATTACTAAATAGTAATCTATGAGTTTTGAGGATACACGCCCGATCCTTGGGTACTCCACCCTATATAACCGAGTTTTGAGGATACCGCCTGATCCTTGGGTACTCCACCCTTTTATAACCGAGTTTTGAGGATACCGCCCGATCGTTGGGTACTCCACCCGACCTATGATCTACCACATATCATACTAGATAGGGCCTATATCATAATCAATAAACAAGACTAGACCAAGTCTTAAGGCCTAAACAAAATCATCCATGCAACTCATGCATTAAAATTAGCATATAGGTAAAGTAAGGCCAAATCGGCACAGGTCAACTCTCGGTTGACCCGCCATTCCAAATCCAATGTGTGTCAAACTTAGTCACAATATGTACTAAGTTATAAATAACTATTTTATGCACATTTCATCTCTAAACATATCACACATGTTTTTATGAGCCATTTCACTTCACAAATCATGCATATTTCAATAGTTCACTTCATACAAGCCTAATCACTTTAATTGGCTGATCACATGTTTAATTCATTTAAACATTATTATGAACACACATAACATATACTTAGGTAATCTCATGTGTAACCCAAAAGTTACAAGACATTAAGCCATCCACTCACCTTAAATACGTTATAGCGTGTTCTACGCTCTTCGGTTGAACTCCGGCGAAACTCCGGCGAACTCCGGCGAACTCTAGAAACACCTTAGTTAAGCTCCTAACATGGTTTTATCATCACAAAACTCATATCAATACAAATAACCTCCAAAATGTTATTTTCCGGCGAACCGGTCGTTTTGGCTTCTAAGTCCGTTCTTGGACTTAGAACCACCTTCCGACCCCTCATTCTACACTTCTAAATGTGTAAAATGATTCTAGGAGTCCTCCATAGGATATAGAATACGTATGGAAATCAAGTTTTGGAAGAAAAGTTATTAAAGAACTTTTCACCTTTATTTTCCAAGTTTTCCTCTACTTTTGCTACTTCCTTTTCTTCCTTGAGTTTCTTGTTGTTTGAGCTTGCTTTGGCTATGGAGAATGAAGTTGCAGAGCTTCCTTTCTCTCTCCCCTTGGTGCTGGCCGAAGTTTAGGTGAGGAAGGGAGGGGGTGGGCTTCCCTTTTGTCTCTTTGAGCAACGAGTGAAAGAAAAGGGGTCCACCTCCATTTAATTTAGGTGTCCCATCATCACCATCACTTCTCCCCCATAATGCAGACCCCTTGTCAAACTTGAGCACAAAAACGTGAGGTGACCCCCACTCATGTGGGAGGTCATCCCTTTGTCCCCCGATTTGGACAATCGGTCGCGAAAGTTGTATTTTTCGGACTGTTTTAAATATATTTTATTTTATCGGGTCAAATAAAATATATTATGTGTTTCCCATCCTTATGGACTCTTAGAATGAATATACATTCCTCATCTTTAATTTAGAAGTCTTCGAAATCTGTTTCGGGTTGTTATCTGATAAAGTGCCAATACCGGTAATTGGACTTCGTTTGATTGACGGCTCAACCGTAAGCCTTTTCTATGGCCCAACTAAAATATATACCATCATATAAATATTATCTAGACCAAGATGAATATAATATGTGGTCTCGGAATTACCGGACGGTTCCCGCTCCCGGTGTGGGCCCCACGTGCGGTTCACTATTCACGCGAAAGAAATAAGCAAAAATTTACAACCACGCAAATTCATAAATCAATATTCAGGATTTATTACATGATTTACTAAAAGTAAATATACTTGGGGACGGTGTTACATGATGAGAATGTTTCGATTGATAATAATAATGATGGTGATGATGATGATGATGATGATAATGATAATGATAATGATAATGATAATGATAATGATAATGATAATAATAATGATAATGTGCATCATGATAATATTAATAATCATGATGATGATATGATGTACTAATAATATCAACATTTGCTATAATAATAATAACAACAACAACAATAATAATAGTAATAATAATAATAATAAAAAGTATGGAGTAATAATAATAGTAATAATAGTAATGACAAAAGTGATGACGGCGACAACGACAACAACAAAAATAATACTCCGTACTCCCTACGTCCCGCTAAGATTGTCCCATTTTACCTTTTTGGGAAGTCCCACTAAGATTGTCTCATACCAAATTTGGTAAAGTTAGTGGGACGGAGGTAGTAATAATTAAAGTTATAATCATGATTGGACTCTTGTGATCTAATCAAAATGTTTCTAGTGTTATTTGAATCTTTCTGTTATGATTTGGTGTGAGAGTCTTTTATTTGAATTTGAATTTTAGTTTTTTTTATATAATTCAAATAAAATAAGAATAAGCTATAAGACTATAAGTAATAAAAATAAGATGAATACAACATCTCCTAAAAGAGTCTTTCTTAAATGTGAATACTAATAAGAAGTTAAATATTCTTATTTAATTACCAATTAAATATTCAATTGGTAATGAATTAATTGATGGATATTTGAACTGTAATTCAGAAATGTTGTCTTCGTTCACCAGGGCGATTGATATTTGAATAGTTATTATTCTAGTTGCTTCTATATATCAGTTTTAAGGGAGGGCTAATGAGGGACACATGAAAGTAGTGAATTGATTTATTAATATTTATAAATTAATAATTGATCATCATTACCGTGACCAGGTAAATCGTCATTATATTTTCATTTTCAACATTTTCATTTACCCCAGTGCCGCAAAGGCTCCCCACCTACGGTGGGGTAAGGGGGGGGTCGGATGTACGCAGTCTTACCCCTGTACTAAAGCACAGAGAGACTGTTTCCGGATGACCCATAGTGAAAATCGTGTCCAAGATTGCATTGACTGACTGCTACTCCATAACAAAGAAGCGCAAACAGTTTAGTGAACCATTTTGCTTTATTCCATCATAACCTCAAGCCAAAAAATAATGAATCTTTGGCTACATTGCAAATGATGGAAAAGAAATTCTTTTATAAATATTTGTAGGGGAAACTATCAAATAAGTAACCGATTTCCCGGTTAAACGATGATGATGGCGACAATGTGCTCGAACCCCAGCAAGGGCGGCTTCCGGGAAACATGTTACATTTAACCGGGAAACCGGTTACTTACCGACCGAAAGGGCTTAATTGAACGTTTTTTAATAATTCGAGTACTTAATTGAGTGTTTGTAAAGTACGAGGGCCTAATCGACTTTTCGATATAGTACGAGGGCTTATTTGATAGTTTTCCCATGTTTGTAAAACACGTACCATGCTTAGTATAAGATGGACCATAATTCCATAACAACAAGAATCTGAAATTTTGATACGATCCTATACTATTAAGCACGTAGTATATTAATTAGTAAGAATGATATAATTACTTGTTAAAGTTATTACCAAGAAGTTTCGATTAATATCACCGTATATTCTCTATTTTATTTAATGCGCCTATATTATATTAGTAATATTGTAAGTGCTCATGAATCTATTGACTTGCTCCCCATTTTTTTGGGGGTAGTATAAATAGGAGAATTAACGTCATAATTCCAAGTTTAACAATAAGGCTTTTACAAGGTCAAGTCTTTAGGTTAATTCCTTGTGGGAACGGTCAAGGATGAGGCCGCCAAATCCCAAACTTGCTTAACAAATCCCTAAAAGTCTCTGGTTTTATTTGATTCTTTTGCCTTTTTACTCTCGTCACAATTGAGGGGACAAGTTAACTGGCGTTACAAGTTGTTTTCATGTGTTTCTTTTGCAGCAATGGCTCTCTCTTTGCAGCCTTACACTTGGGCATATGATAAAAGTTGTTCTACTCAACTGTCGGAAGAAAGGTATGTTTTTTGTATATATTGTTCTAGGATACTTATCTTCTACTCTTCTACTTTGCTTTTCTTTAATTTTCCATTGATTTGTTTTCTTTTTTCAGAAGTAAAAAACAAAAAGTGAGGTCAATGGCAAACACAATGGAGAATGCACACCATTTGCCTGAAAGCATGATCATAGAGATTCTTTCATGGCTGCCAGTAAAAGAACTATTGCAGTACAAGAGTGTGTGCAAATCATGGTATGCAATAATTTCCAGTGCTAGTTTCATATCGCAACATCTCAGAAACTACTGCAATAATAGTAACAATGTGGATTGGGGTGGATGTCTCTTAGTCCAGCGTTATGTTTCCCAAAATGAGATTCAGTTGTTTGAGTTGTTCCTGGATGGAACTCCTCGAGTTTTAGCTGTGGAAGAGTTGTATAGGATGCCTATGTACCGCTCATTTATCGACGGCCCTTGTAATGGAATATATTATCTGTACCAATACTACTCTGGTCAACGTGCTTTGTGGAATCCGACCATCAATGAGTTGAAGGTCTTACCTGAAATAACTTTCGAGCCATCCATGGCCACATTTGCTAACTACGAAGTTTGTGGTTTTGGGCTAAATCCTGGAACCACTGACGAGTACAAGGTTGTTGTTATCAAAGACCGTTGGCTGACTAGTGATCACGATGATGATGATGATGATGATGGAAGCTTTGCCAGGCAGCTACCCCAATCTGTCATGGTCTACTCTTCAAGGACAGATTCTTGGAAATACTGTGGAGATCTGGCTAAATGTTATTACTTGGAGATGAATAACTGTTACATTTATGTAAATGGATGTTGTTATTGGTGTGCACAGGATGAAGAGATGGATGAAGTGATCATATCATTTGACATGGCTAACAATGCATTTAAAGAGATGGATGTACCAGGTTATGCAGAACCAAGTTCCAAGTGCCTAGGAGTATATGATGATTCTCTTGCCCTTTACTCTCTCCATCGTAGGGAGGTTTTTGAGCTTTGGACATGGGATGAGGGGTGCCACTGGACTAAGAAGTTAACTGTAGGACCAGGACCTTTCTATGATGTTTCGGGTCCTGTTGGCCAATGGAAGAACAATAAAGTTATACTACGTGGTCATGGGAATAAGCTACTTCTATTTGATCCCGAGTCCAAAGAAGTAATTGATCTTGGGCTTCAGAATGATGTTAACTATGAAGGAGTTTTCGTGTACATGGAAAGTCTGGTTTCAATCAATCAAAAACGAAACCCGTAGTCATTCATTCATTCATTCATTCATTCATTTATCATTCTCGGCTCCCTTACTAGTAAAGTAAATCTGGTATATATGTTTTAGTGAGAGCTTTGTTGAGAGATTGAGCATTTTATTTTCTATTTTCTATAACATGTCATGTCAATTGATTCATTAATATAATGCAGTCCTATGAGCTTGTTTAATAGCTACTACATATGTGTTATAAGGCATCAAACAAATTGCAACAATCATACTCCCTTACTCTCCCCCTCACACATTTCGTGCTGTGATTGGAATCTGACATACTATCTTCCTTTATTTGGGCTATTAGGTCTTGTGGAAAGCAAAGAATATAATTTATTCATAGAGCTGGAATTGAAGCACCTTATCATCTGAATTATTTGAAGCCAAATATAATATACTTGTAATAAATAGAATGATGATAATGATAAAACTTGGTAATTATTTTTTAATTAGAAAACTAAACACAAGTCTAATTTTTTCCGTTTTTTCTGCATTTTGATATATAAAAAGTTTTTATTCTTTTTAATTTCAATTTTATATTTTTCTATAACGCTAAATTATGTTAAATATGTAGTAGCAGAGTAGTTTTTTAGAATGTAACTGATTTTTGTTGTTTTTAATCTTTATGATTTTTCTTTATTTTTAAAAGCTTTAGTCCTCAACCCTGTATGAACTGTGATTTGTGCTTTCCAAAAAAAAAACTGTGATTTGTGAAGTACATATTTGGAAGCTTGTCAATTAAAAAAAAATAGGTGGGTGTGTGTGTTTTAAGAATATGAAAAAAGAAAACTATTAAGAATCCAAACAAAGGCTTGTTCACACAAATGAAGCCTGTATAAAAAATAATGCGTCTGCCGGGAGTCGAACCCGGATCTATTGCTTGGAAGGCAATTATCCTAACCGTTGGACTACAGACGCAACGTTGTAAGTAATCGGCTTCTAGTAATAATCACAACGTTAATCAAACGGTTTGTTCTGCAAAGTAACGACATGCGACCGTGTGAATGTGTGATGCGGGAAGTCAAAGCCAAATTGATCCAACTGAATCACGGAGAAGCTGGAACAACTAAAAAAAAGTAAAATGAAAAGTCTGAAAGATATCCCAAAAGAAGAAAAATCAGAATTAAAAATATATTATGGGGTAATTCTATTGACAACCAAATATTTGAAAATTAGAATTATTTAAATATCTAAAGGAAAAATATATATAACGATATATTTCTACACTTTTAGCAGCAACACAAAAAATAGCAATTAAATCGTCCCTTGTTTACGATATATTACAAGTTTTGGTCGAAGTTGTGACTCTCTACTTGAATAATTTAGATCCACAAAATAAAGAATAAAAGAAAAGTTAAAGTAGCAGTAGAACTTGTAGGAAGAGAGTTATTTTGCAATTGATTCTTTATGTGACCAAAACCGTATATAGTTATGTGTGCGGCTGAGGTAATTATCAAGAAGTATATAATCATGCAATAATTAGACTGAAGTAGATAAATGTTTCTTACACATATGACTTGGAGAAAAATATACTACTTATACACTTGCAACAACCTGATATTACGGGATGTTTCTTCAAATTCTTCAACATGAATTTTTATATGAGAAATGTCTAGCTATCCAAGCTCACTTACACGCCGAATTACACGCTCAAGTGTAATTATCTGTGATTCTATGCACATAAAATTGAATTTAGTTTTAGTAAAGATAAGTGCATGTGATCTCGAATTCTTTACGAATAACACTTCTCTTTTTGTAAAAGATCTTATCAATGCAATTGCAATTAAAGAAGATTAAAATATGCAATAATTAAATTTAACTACTAGTAATATTTTATTACAGCTTACTCATCTCTATTCACTTGGATTTTTCAAGACTGCAATTTCCCAACTCTTCTACAAATAGTTTCCCAGTAATCCAGTATGTGTGGCTCACAAGTGAGCCAACCTTTATACAGCAGTTCTCATGCATTTCCACACTCTTCTGGCCTGCCAAAAGTAAAAATGGCTTTGCTGCAGCCATTTTCCGCCATTGATCTTTGTCTTCCCAAACCTCCCCACACATCTCAGACATGCCCAACCCTAAAACTCCCAAAACCATCCTCTCTGCGCCCACACACAATTCCCTTTCCCCATTGCCACAAAGTACTGAAGAAGAGGTGGGCGTTTGCAGAGAAATCTGGGGGCGGAGTAGTTAGTGTTGGTGAAGGTGATGGTGAGGATAGAGTGGCGGTGCTGGGTCCCACATCCGAAGAATCAAGAGATGAGGGGGAGGTGGCGAGGTATGACTGGACGGAGGAGTGGTACCCTCTGTATCTGACCAAGAATGTGCCCGATGATGCCCCTCTCGGCCTAACTGTGTTTGATAAACAGGTGGTTTTGTACCGTGATGGCAGTGGAGTGCTTAGATGCTTTCAAGATCGATGCCCCCATAGGTGTGTGACTTACCAGACTAGTTATGTTTTGTTTTCAAAATATGACTTGTTTAGTTGTAAGAAAATGAGTAAAATCAGTTGAAATTTCCTTTTAAAAGTGAAACAATCCTATTTTGACCCAGTTGAGTGATCCCGAATTTCTGCCATATTTTGACCTCTAGTTGAGTTGAAACTCCAGTGACCCCAACTGTAATCATTGAATTCTATCAAGACTTGAGCAAGAAGAGTATCACACAGGCAATCTAAGTTAAATTAAATTCTTAGAATTTGGATTAGATTCATGGAAAATGGAATCATAAGCTCTGTAGTAGGAAACTGAGAAAATGGTAATATAAGACTATAAGAGCAGGGGAATTGACACACATATTTGAGAATTATCTTACCTTATTTAGAGTTTACTCGAGTTGAAAGCAACAAGCACCTTCATTTTATGTGGTGAAGTCCAAAATGAGCAGTGAAAAGTGGGAGGTGATGGTTCAGCTTACAAGCTTATTGAGTTTTAGATTGCATGTGTGATACTCTTCTTGCTCGTTTGACTTTCCTTATCTGGATATAGATAACATCTGAAAATTTGAAAAACTCACACTTTTCACATGCGAGAAGACATTTTGAAGGTATAATAGGTCAGTTCTGAGACATGCTATGTGTCTAGCACACTTTGAACGATGTTCTAAATTCCCCCTCGTTATAGTCCCTGCCCTGGGAGGGCATTCCTGATTGGAATAGTCCAGAACTGTCGTAGTTAGGTCTTGAATGCAAGGAAGGTTGCATCTATTGTAATATATCTCCTGTTGTTAGCGGCATATCTGGATTAACTTTGTTGACTGTGAATTTCAGCCCTTCACAGACTTACCCACCAAAGTGTAAATCTTAAAACATGTTTTATCGCTTTGTCAAAACAGTAGCTCTATGGTGTGTCCAATATAAGTTATATTCATGAACCATAAGTTTATCCTCTTTAAATATGACATTTCTCTTATCAACTGCATATCCTCTTAAGTCACCTCACCTCATACTGATTTAAGAAAATACGAACCAACATAGAAGTCTTAGACTAGTTTTTCTTTGAAGAGAAATTTTAGGATGGAATAACTAAAACCTTATAGATCGGAATGTGGTTTTTACATTTTCTTGAGATGACTTAACGTGTCATGCAAGACTGGCAACTCCTAGGAGAGACGAGTCCTTCCAATATTAATGATTAAATGCGCACCATAATGCTTCAGGTTGGCAAAACTGTCTGAAGGTCAGTTGTTTGAGGGAAGACTAGAATGTCTATATCATGGCTGGCAATTTGAAGGGGACGGAAAATGTGTAAAGATACCCCAGGTTTGATTCCCAACACCCCCTAGGCCCCAGTGATTTGAATGGTGCAAATTTTGATGTTGCTGTATAGTAGAATGAAAAACTATAATTATTGTATTAATGATAAATAGAGGATGTAGAAGTTTATATAGGACACATATTTGTCTTTAAATGGGAAAGTGAATCTCAATGTATTAAGGAATAACAATATAATAAGGAATTTGAATTGGGTTTTACTAAATATATAAAAAATTTGTTCCTCATACATGTGACATTTTTTAAATACGGACCGATTTTCATGTTTGCAGTTGCTGAAAGATGCAAAAATCCCAAGGTCTGCTTGTGCCAAGCCCTATGAAATAAGGGACTCACAGGGAGTTGTTTGGATATGGATGTCCCACAAAACGCCACCAGACCCTGCAAAAATCCCTTGGTTCGAAAACTTCAACAGGCCCGGCTTACGGGACGTGTCCACAACGCATGAACTCCCATATGACCACTCTATCCTTCTTGAGAACCTCATGGATCCTGCCCACATCCCTATCTCACATGACAGAACGGATTTCACCGCAAAGAGGGAAGAAGCTGGACCACTCTTTTTCGAGGTAACTGAAAGGACTGGACGGGGATTCGCCGGGTGGTGGGGCCGGGAAAGGGATCAAGGGAAACCTAACTACAAGCCAAACTTTTTACGGTTCGAAGCGCCGTGTGTTCTTCAGAACAACCGGGAAATCATTGAAGAGAATGGGGCGAAGCACTACTTTTCCGGTCTCTTTCTTTGCAGACCATCTGGCCAGGGGAAATCAATGCTCATCGTGAGGTTCGGAAGCACAAAGGAAATCAGAGGTGTGCTAAAATTACTCCCCAATTGGTTCTTTCATCAGAATGCAAGTAAGGTTTTTGAACAAGACATGGGTTTCCTGTCATCACAAAATGAAACCCTGATGAAAGAAAAGGTTCCGACCAAGGATCTCTACATGAACTTGAGGTCCTCAGACACTTGGGTGACTGAGTATAGGAAGTGGATGGACAAAGCCGGGCATGGGATGCCTTATTATTTCGGGCATACGACTGTTTTGCCCCCCAAAGTGCCCGCTGTCGTAGAGCATGCTCCTGCGGGTTTCCTTGCTAACCTCTCGGCTTCTCAGCCAGCAAAGGGCGGAATCGGAACAATGCATGCTCCGAATCTTGCTAATAGATACTTCCGGCACGTTATACACTGCAAGGAATGCAGGGATGTGGTTAAAAGTTTTGGGATGTGGAAGAATGTCTTTTCTGCTTTTGCCCTCGTCTCCACCGCTTTGGCAATTCTGGCATCTGGAAGACAGTGGAAGGCTGCCTTCTTGTTTTCAATATCACTGTGCTTGACCGGAATATATGCCTGCTCCACTGCGATTGCAATGAATACAACTAACTTCATAAGGACACACAGAAGATTGTGACCCCCCCCCCCCCCCCACCTCCCAATGGTGGACTATGGGTCTGTGTCTTGGCTCTTGAGCTCATCTGTTTATAGTTGCTTTCCTTTTTCAAGATGTTGAAAATATGAAGAGATGGTTATATGCTTGAAGCTGTCTATTTAAAGAAATTACAAGAAAATGAGGTTAGTTTGTGGTGTGTAGAGCTGGAGTTCTTCATTGAGTGGTTACTTTTGGTCATGTAACTTTTTTATTTTGTGTTGTAAGGTCAACTAATTTCTTTGTTTGTGAAGAGAGTCAACTAATTCCTTATGGTCACGTCAATTAATCATATTTCGTGTGTCATTAGCCAGTCACTTTAACAACAGTAGTAGTTCACTCATGCGTTGGACACGGAGTAAAAATTATTTAGGACAAATATTGTTGAATTAGTCATGTGTTGTTTATGATATCAATAGTTTCCCTAGTACTGGAGAGGCTCCCACCCATGTGATGTGAGGAATTAGATGTACGCAACCTTACCCTTGTCCGGATGACTCGTGGTGGGCGTCGTTGTTGGTTGTTTATGATAATTATTGAAAAAAAGATAAATTGGATTTTCACAAAAATATCACTAAAATAAAACTTATTTACATAAATATGATTAATAGTTATTATAATGTAGTATCCTGTTAACTTAAGTTTATCGATTGAACATAAATTACTATGATTTCATTGTTACTCTAGTCATTACTTCATTAGTCATATTTTTGTAAGTCATTTCTATTTTAGTCATATTTATATATTTCTAAATGATAACTTTTCATGGAATTACACTAGAGGTTTTATATGAATACGAAAAAGTAACAATCTATATCTAGAATGGTAAGAGAAAAGGGAAAAAATCTTAGAAAATATAATGCCACTTAGTACACAATTTAATAATCAAATAGAGAAACCTAGCTACATATAGGTCATTTTTTTTAATTTCTAAATAATACTTCCTCCGAATAAATGAAACAGTCAAGCTTTCACCTTTATCGAGACACAACTTTGATCATTAATACATATAATTTTCAATTAGTAAAAAAATTAAAAAAATTAGATTTTGAAAATTTACAAATGAGACAAATTTAACAATAATTTTTCATAAAAATATATTAATACACTAATAAATAAAACGTGGTAAGGGGTATAACATGAATATTTTAAAACATTGACTACACGACCAAACGAATCTAGTAAAATCTCAGCCGCTCAGTTCTGAACTCGGGTTTGGAATTGCGAAGAGATAGATGGGGCATTCCCATGATTATCATCACCAAGCAGTAGATGGGTTGGTCGCTCTCTTCTCCAAAGCACACCACGACCTTAACCTTGTCTCCTTCAAGCTCGAGAAGGAGTTCCAGCAAGTGTACTCCGACAAAGTCTAGATTCAATCCCGATGCTTTCCTAAAATGATGGATAAATTACTGTCTTCTTCGACCTGGATTTGTTTGCTAATTATGAACCTCTTATTTTCAGACGAATCCCATGAAGCTTGTGTCACGGATCAACAAAATCCAACTCGAATTGGGGTCCATACAAGAGAAGTGTCGCGAGGTTCTCGCTGCAAAACAGGTTTCGATCTTGCATTTCTACTAAGCCAATACTTTTTGGGGTTGAAGTTTGTCAATTGATTGAAAACAAAAAACTGCCTGCGTTTCATATTGTCCTTAATTTGATTGCGAATAAAGAGGAATGATTAGTTGATACTGAGTCAGTCACATTGCACACATATACTTCGTTCTTTTTTATTTTGTTTAAACACTTGACTTTCACTTCTGACCACACACTGTGATCATTCTAATATTTAATTGCTTAGTAGTGTTAAAAAGAACCATATTTGAAAGTTTACATTGAGATAAATCTAACAATGGTTTCAAATGTGAACTTTTTAATATATACCTATTATATACTACGTAATAAATAAAATTTGGTCAAGTTAGAGTATGTGGGTAGTGCAAAAGTTATAGTGCAGCTTATAGAGAATGGAGTTCAGGTATCCCAGCATTTGTGAATACTAAAATAATTACAAGTGTTACTTATTATCAAATAGTCTTTTCTTGTTCAAAGACATATAAAGCGAAGAAGATAAAAAATAGCCTGAAATTATCATTGACATCAGATGATAATTTTGATAGTATTAATAGGCATTCATCTTTGAGAGTATGTATGTTGCATTGCTATGTGCTTTTGCATGTGCAGAAAGCCAAAAAGTTTCATTTTTGTTTCATTTTGATGTTTAGTCAATAGTGCATTATGAGCATGTGATTCTATATTGATCATGAGGGGTTGGAGGGCTACATGGAGTGGTTTGTCGTTGATAATGTGCTTTCCATAAAATAGCAATACATAGTTCCGTAGGAAAATTCCCGTAATAGGGGTGAACAAGTTTTGGAATTCCAAAATAGGACTACTATGTTAAAGGTTTTGGAGTCATTATTCTCAAAATAATTACAGTACTAACATGACAGTATTTTCCGTCATTAATGACAATATTTTTCAATCTAGCAGTAACAACTCCTATTTCGAGAAAAAATCATACGACTCCTATTTCAAGAGAAAAAAACATTGCAGTTCTATTCTGGAATTCCAGAATATTTTTACTCCTATTTAGAGAAATTTCCCTAATAATAATAAAAATAAATTAATAACAATAAATAATGGTCATCAAATGTTCAATTGGATCCTCTTTACTTTTGTTTTATTTATTGAAGTAAAAGCAGTTCCACAATATTCTAAATTGACATCTTTGTGCTAAAATAAAATTAAAACTTTTCCTATGGTGATGCCAACAGGATTTAATTGACAAAGCCAGGGCAACCTTAGTTTGGAATCGATCATTGCTACAGAAACTTCAAGCTCATGCAGGTTTACCTGTCATTGATGACAATAATGATTCAGCATTTGCTAATTTTAACCAGGTAATTAGGCTATTGCATAATTGCATCATTATCCTTTTTAAGTTATGTTTTTTTCGAGAACCAAAGCTCATGTAATGTCAAGCAGAATATCCCCATTTCGAGAACTTGTTCTATTGGAATGGCAAAAACTTTTTCGAAGTGGTTGAGTGATGTTCTGTCAAGTTTTTTTGAACAGTTAACAATCTGCTTGTCCTCAACAGTTTACTGTTATGAAGAGTGCCAAATTATGTGCCCTTTTTACTGACGCTGTGCATAGAAGAAATACATGAAAAGCTTAAATATGTTTGTCATTCTTGCAAAATTTAACATCTTCTTTTTTAGGTTCTTGTATTTTTTTGTTATTCATCCTAGTATTTACATGGTTTTACTTTTAGCCCTTTCCTGGAGTTTTAGACACCTATCATTTGTTTTCTTTAAACAGAGGTTGATGGAGAAGGATAAAAAAGAAAACAACTTCAATTACATGGATGAATAACAAAATATTATTTTGTAGAGAACTAAAACAAAAATAATATATTCTCAGCGGCAATGAAACAATAAATTTAAGCCTAAATGGAATTTAACTGTGTTTACATCTCAACCTAAGAGCTGTTAGGCTGTTAAACATTGTGTAGTTTCTCGGTCTAGAGTTTAGTCACAACTTACAAGGTTCAAGGTTGCCTATTTTCCAAATGGTGCTTAGAGAACTTGCAACATTTGCCAGCAAACAACCGATATTCATCAAGAGTGGCAAGGTTTCCAAGATCTTATGCCCTGGACCAGATGCCTTGCCTGGGTATTCGTGGCCTTGCCACATATTTTCACCTTGTTACCTTAAGTATTTAACTATGCCATCTTTCATCTATTTTTTGAAGAAAGTTTTAGTTCTCTCAACCTCTTGTAGTATTTTATGCCATTTTAACTGGCTGATGCTTACTTCCTAATATATTCGTATGTAGATTATTGATGAATGGACAACTCATGTAAGAGCTGGGGCAGGTACAGTAGTCATGAACACACCCAATGCTTTCTTTAATATTTTTTAGTTGTTTATACTTTTATCAGCTTACGACTTGAAAGAGTGCATCTTACATTAGGGCGCAAGTCCAATTAAAGAGCTGAACGCAGTAGCGAGGATATCCCTTTGTTACCTTGGGAGAATTTAGCAGTTAGCACATTATCTAATCCAAGTTCCTTATAATTAAAATGGGACCTACTTATCCTATGTTTGGAATTCTTCTCCTTTACTGTGTTAAAAAACCTATATTTGGTTCATTGATTAAACACATTAGTACTGAATGTGCGGCCTTTCTCCTAATCTCAAACTTTCAGACCAAAACGCAGACATCAAGATGTGGAGTGTTATTATTCCCAATATTTAGCCTAAAGATATATATAAGAGACTTTTAATCCCTTAGCTAGCAACTTTTGAGCCAAACAATCCCATAGTATTAGTGTAGCACTGTTGCTGAACGAGATAGGTGTGCCGTGGAGCATGAAACAGCAGGTACTGGTAGTAATGCATCATTGGGGTTTTCAGAAGCTGATACCTGGGGTTAACATCTTATATTTATTGAATGGTTGAACTCATTGATGTAACCCGAGGTCGTGGCTCAACACCATGTTTGGCTATCTGAATTGGCTCAATCCCATTTTAGCTCTTTTACTTCCGCTGAACACCATATTTGGCCATTAGATTTAGCACATATTTCATTATGACCATCATACCTTTTATATACTGCAATTTAGCCATTTTACATTTTTACTTCTATTTTCTCTCCAAACAAGCCATTATACACGGACTTGAAGGAGGCATTTGGTGAGTTCGTAACAAATGCTGTTACCCCTTTGGCCCTTAAAAGTATCTTGTGTAATTTGTATATCATAAATGTAGAAATAATGGGTAAATTCTGTTTCTTTTCTACATCAATTGCTGATATGGCTCTATTTGCATGGGTACATGCATTTTTCTACATTGGCTCAGTCAAGTCCTTACAGTTCGTTTGAAAGTAGAAAGGAAGTGAAAAAATTAAAATGAATGCTTCAAAAAAATGATAATCATATCGAAATAGGGTGTTAAATCCTATGGCCAGATAGGGTGCTATGTCTACAAGAAATTTTATTATTATTGGATCATTCTAAGTTTCTAACAGTTTAATCAACAACAGCCTGTCTTGTGATAAATTATCAAATGAACACTTGATTTCATTATTGATTCTTTGTTATTTCTAATTTGCAGATAATGAGAACCTGGAGTCAGTTTCTGAGGATGTAAATCACCTTCTGTTTTCAGCAATTGTTCCTGAGAACTGAGCCCAAGTTTCTTCAGGGTTAGCTAGTATGGGTGGAGAGGTGACATCCAATTTTCCTTCGGTATGGATCTTACTGCGGAAAAGAAGTCATTCCATCCTTATTATATATAGCCCCATCTTGCCTTTTCTAATGCGAAACAAAGTTATGATGAGATTGAGGGAGTAGTAAATTAGAAGACCTTATCTCCTAAAATGAGGATGGAATGAGGATGATATGCGAAACGAAATAGACAGACATGGCGCGGTTGCTTGAGCATTAATATATCTGAATGTGTGATCGCTTCAGCCTTGAGGATTCTTATACTCCCTCCAATCCTTTTTCATTTTGCCTTTTTTTGTCTGTCCCCCTAAGTTTGCTCCATATCATATTAGAAAAATTGAAAAATACTCTCAATAATATCATTTAGAGGGAATTCTCTAAATGGGAGTAAATAAACCCTTAATTGCCAAAATAGGACTAAAATTTGAAAATTACCTAAATAGGATTTATTATTTGTAGTTGGACAAAGATGCCCTTGAAGTTTGGTAACATGCTACCGCATACATAGTGCCAGACCGCTTCCACTCGTCAGCCGCCACCGCTCGCCGGCCGCTGCTGTGGCCTCAAAATTGGCCACTATTACAGATCTGGCCTCCGCAGCTGCAGATCTAGTCACCGGAGCCATAGATCTGGCCGCCTCCATCCACCGACTACGACCCCTGCAAATCCGGCCTCCGCCGCTTCATCTTCGGTCGCCACTGCCTCTATTGCCAGCATTTTTATCGGAATGCCAACATGAAATCAAAAATTCGAAATTGCCATTTGAATGGCATTTTCGAAAGGAAACACGGATTTTTCGAAGAGTAAGAATGCCATTTTGATGCCATTTTCAGAGTAAATTTGACAATTTTAACAAGTAAAGAAGAAATCAGAAGCATCGAACCTGCGGCTGCGACAAAAACAGAAGAGGGTAGAGAAAAAACAGTAGACGAGGAGGAGAAGGAAGGAGGAGTACAACGAGTTACATTCTGCAGCAACAGATCTGGATCGGATTTGTCCCTCTCTGCTCGCCTCTGGTTTCGTTGCTAGCCGATGGTCGCCGCAGTTGCTCGCCGCTTTTGGAAACTCAATGTTGCAGAAGATGCAGCAGTTGACCGGAGAAGATGCGCAGAAGTGATGCCTGGGGGAATGACGCTCGATCATGTGCGGAAGCTAACATAAGTAGAAGGGGTAAATTTGGAATAGTAGTCCTATTTAGGAATAAAAGTATATCTACTCCTATTTGGGAATTTACACAATAATTTAATCCTAATTAGGGTAAAAAATCCTATCATTTACTTTTATTATGACCAGTCATTGGTTCCTGATTAAAAATGGAAATTTTTTTCTAATGATTTGAACTATGGTCGGACCATTTTTGGTAGTTTCAGTATAATTAATTTAAAATGTCAAAAATAAACCACAAAATGGTACACATCCTTATCTATTAGATTTCCACATATACTTCTATGGAAATATTTTACTACATGCACCACTTTCGTATTTTTGTAAATATTTCATTTATATGTGCATAATTTTCCTTACTTTTCTCACTTTTTACCCTATATTCATACACTTTAATCTTTATTTCAAGTTATTTAATCTTTTTCTACATTCCTTACCATTTCTATTATATCACTTAAAATTACAATATCAATATCTTATAATTAAAAAGATCAAATATAGTTCTAGTCTCAGTAAATATGGAAAACTTTTTTTTCATCCTTATAATACGCACTATTTTGTTTTTAGTCTATCTCCTACTTCGAAACCACAAGAATCTTTTAAATTTATTCTTTTATAATTTTTTTAGACTAATATCAGAGTTAAAATAATGTAAAATTAATTATTCACATTTTTAAAATATGAATTAAAAAACTTCTAAAAAATAAAATTAAATAATTTTTGGATAATATGACAAAAAATTAGATGAAATCTTTTAGTTGCGGTAGTTTTTGTCAAACGGAGGTTGTTATTAAGGGTGAGCAAACTAGTACAAGAATCGCGAGTCGGGTCGGGTTAATACAGGTTCAGTGCGGGTTACTGGGTTAGGATCGGGTCCTAATTTAGAAAAAACCCAAACGGGTCCAGCTCGTGACAATCCCGTTTATTGCGTCGAAACCAACCGGTGTGGGCGGGGCAGGTCCTTAAAAACTTAGGAACTGAACAAGGCTTATAATGTGAAAAAACGGGTACACGGACTAAATCGTTTTAAAATATTATTTTAATAAATTCTGTTATATTTAATATAATATAATATAATATAATATAATATAATATAATATAATATAATATAATATAATATAATATAATATAATATAATATAATATAATATAATATAATATAATATAATATAATATAATATAATATAATATAATATAATATAATATAATATAATATAATATAATATAATATAATATAATATAATATAATATAATATAATATAATATAATATAATATAATATAATATAATATAATATAATATAATATAATATAATATAATATAATATAATATAATATAACATAATATAACATAATATAACATAATATAACATAATATAACATAATATAACATAATATAACATAATATAACATAATATAATATAATATAATATAATATAATATAATATAATATAATATAATATAATATAATATAATATAATATAATATAATATAATACAATACAATACAATACAATACAATACAATACAACACAACACAACACAACACAACACAACACAACACAACACAACACAACATAACATTTTGATTAAGTCTGGACTGGTCTAATTCAACTTGATCTGATCTATTTTGGTCTGGTTTGGGATTATAATAAGTGTCAATCATACATTTTTACGATTTTGGTAGATCTTTTTTTCACTTTCCTATGTTTTATCTAGGGATGGACTCGGGCCGGGTGGCCCGACCCGGAACCGGCCCGGGACCGGTACTATTCCGGCCCGGCCCGACCCGGTGGCCCGGTCAGTGACCGGTTCGAGTAGGCCCGGCCCGTGGGTTTTCCGGTCCGGGCTCGGGTCACCCAAAACAAGGCCCGACCCGGCCGGGCCCGGGCCCGGTTCGGGCCAAAAACTATTTTTTTTTCAATTTTTTTTCAATTTTCAGGTTGGGCTGGGTATTTTGGGCCGTTTGGGGTGGTTTGGGGGTTTGGGGTTGGGAGGGGGGTTAATTAGGAAGAGGAAAACAAAAAAATGATAATGGGCCCGGACCGGGCCCGGGTCCACCATTTCTGAACCGCTGGCCCGCCCGGGCCTAGGCCCGACCCGGACCCGGCACGTACCCGAGTCCATCCCTAGTTTTATCCCAAGTTATTTAACAAATCAGATATTAGAAAAGTGGACCACAATCCTTGTCGCTCTAGGATGCATATCATATCATTTGGAAGAGTGAATGGTCTCGTTGGATTCAAAATTATATTGTCAATGGTATTTGACACTGTCCCACCCACGCAACGCGCATTGAAAAACTAGTTAAGTAAATAAGAGCTTAAATTAAGTAAATAAGCCCAAACTTTAAGGAAATAAGTTATTACAATTGACGAGCATCTTTTTAAGGAATTCTTAATTATTTAAGAAGTTGCTACTATATAGTAGTACTATCTATATTGTCTTAGTTAGAGATGAAATTGAGCTTAAGTTAATATTAGAGTCCGGTATTTCCATGCCATGTAAGAGCTACGTTCTAAATGTTAATTCATATCATGTTTAATCGTATATTTTTGAATGTTTTAAATGAATGTCAATATTGTATTTAATATTATTGCATTTGCATTGTATACATGATATGTTACTCTGTATTATTTTTTTGTTTCATCTCGGCCTCCTCCCAATCGAATCCTGACTCCGTCCTTGTTATTGACATTATTTCCATGCAACCACCACCCTGACAAATATGACAAAAAAGATAGTACTCTCTTCGTCCCTTAAAACATTGCCATCTTTCCTTTTTAGGACGTCTCAAAAAACTTTGTCATTTTTCCTTTTAATCAATTATTTTGTGGTTTCTGTTATTTCTCTCTCCTCTGCACAAACCTCAATCACACAGTTTTTACTTTATTATTCTCCGTGTCGGTCAACTTTGTCAAAATTTTAAAGGACGGAGGTAGTACCAATCAGTGTGATTTACACGCAAGTTAATTTTTGTTTACATAGACAATTATGCTGAAAGTATCTATATTTTTTTTACACCTATGGTTATGAATGACAAATAACAATCATGCTTGATGTACACACTCTTGTACACACCTTATACACACCATGTTTGTGAAGCTTTTTTTGTTTATGAATCCGGTTCACAAACAATATTTTTTTTGTGCAAAACATTGTCTGTGAATCGATGTTCACAGACAAAAAAAAACTTTCGCAGACCTAAGTGTGTACAAAAATGTGTATAAAAGTGTGAATGATAGACAATTAACTATGGTTGTAGTTAATATGCCTCCAATATCCGGTATCTCTTCATCTCACCCTTCAATATCACTCATTTCATCCCACCATACGACCAAGCTGACACTGACAGGCTCTAACGGAAAGCCAGGCCTAGGGTTTTTTTTTTTGCATCTGAAAGATCCGAGACGGTCAGAATGGAGATGACGGCGCAACAACTGGAGCTGTACAACGGCTCCGATCCGTCGAAGCCAATTTACATAGCGATCAGGGGTCGCATCTTTGACGTCACTGCTGGCAAGTCTTTCTACGCTCCTGGAGGAAGCTACTCCATCTTCGCCGGAAAAGATGCCACCAGAGCCCTAGCCAAGATGAGCAAGGCGGAGGAGGATATCTCCCCTTCAACCGAAGGGCTATCTGAGAAAGAAATTGGGGTCCTCCAGGACTGGGAGAAGAAGTTTGAAGCTAAGTATCCTGTTGTTGGCCGTGTTCGTACATAATCTTCCTAATTTATTTCTACGCCATTTACTATAAGCTTCAGTTATATGTATTTAAAAAAGAAACGATTTGATGCTATTCGGTTGAAATGTGTGCTTACCTTATTGGTGTATCCTCATATAATCGGATTCTGTAATCTCATGAATAATGGCTTCTTTGCAATCGATAATCTGAATGTTACCTCTTCTCTGCATTGAAGTGATTGGGGAAATCAATTCACTTCAGAGTCTGAATTTTCAGAGACCAATGAAACATAATAACATGATTTATAGCTTGGACTCAGGGGTTATTTTGGTTCAGGGGATTTGGAAGGAAGGGAGAAGAGGATTGGTTTTTAAATCATTATTACTCCCAGTTATTAGGGA